TGGTATAATCAATTCAGTACTTCTAATTCGGGTACTTACATGATTTATAACAAACTTTTCTTAAATTTGTCGTCGATACAAATATACAATAAATAAGTAATTTTTAAGAATCTAAGGTTTGTCTTTTAAACGTCAGTACAATAAATGCGATCCGTGTTTCACCTCACTGAAAATAAAGAAATTCCAATTAAAACAGGATGAATCTGCTAAACACTAAGGTCATATATCGTTGTTGAAGATCATTGAATACCTTTGCAGAAATCTCTAAGTTTCTATAGAGTTTTACTCTTACTTTCTGCTTTTTGGCACGGCATACTTTTCTTCCCGAACCGCACATTGATCGATGATCACTGTCATACCAAATAATATTGCTGAAAAAGGTCATTGTAATTTAGAAATAAAAATTGTTATAAGTACTTTCTACAAAGCCATGATATATACAAAAACCTTTTACAGAATCACCTTTTAGCAGGGGTTTCCTAAACTATGACTTACCTATTGGGTCTGTGGGGGCACTCACCCTATTAGACCCTTTAAGGAATCACGGTTCTTGTAAGTTTTCAATCTATATTTAGCTGTCATGTGTTAAAATGCATGCCTAAGAGCCTTAATACTCCTGAAAAATAGTCAAAAGATTTAATACAGAAACCAAGATTAAAATAATATCATACATTGAATGCTGTATATTTTTAGAACTGTAACCCTTACCTTTGACTACTTAACAAAAAATCAACAAGCTTTGTCTCTTTCCTACTATCTAACACTGATATAAGTTTTATCAAAACCGAACAAGAATATTTACATGTAATTACCCAGAAATTACAAATTGCACCTCCTATTTTTATTTTGTCAGCCTATTTTTAGAAGCTTTGACCTTAACATTTAACCCTAAAATATGATAGGGTTTATCCCCTGTCTCATGTCTATATACGTGTGATTTGTAAATCAATAACAGAAAACTTAAAAGGGCATTAGCTACGAGATATAAAAAAAAAAAAAAATATGATTTTGTTTTGTTCAATCATTAATGAAAGTGAAATAGTGGAATAATAATTCGCTTAAGCAGCCAGTTTGGTTCAATTTTGTCAAAATAAGCTAAGAAACATCGCTGATGAATTTTTCTTGCAAGTGAATAATTCGACCTCATTGAAACCGTATTCATGTGACTTTCTATTTAACCCCTTAGCTAGAGATGGGTTACTCATGAACTAGGCGTGTTCAGCTATTAAAAGGAAAAGAATGTCAACATTGAAAGTGAAACAAGGGTGAACAATTCGGTTGACTGATTCGATCCACAAAAACTCAATCTTATACAGGTAAAAACGATGATTAACACATTTGTTTAACCTATAATAAGAAATCAAACATACAAAGAAAAATGCAATTGCACGTGTTCGCTATCTATTTCTATCTATATTTATGATTATATCGGGTTATATGACCGTCGGCAGTGTTCGGAGTTAACTTCGATGGTTAATTAGAAGGCGTCTAGAGTAAAATACACACGAAATGCGGATACATATTATCGAGTCCATGCATTGTTAATCGTTCATTTTAAACTTTTTGTAAGTTTGATATACGTTTTAGTAGGTTATAAACCAAGTATGAGAATTTGAGTCAATTCGGGAACATGAATTTGATAGCTAATGCCCCTTTAAGTGACATATCTGGAAACAAGTTTTTTTTTAAATCAATTAATTTTATAACAGCGACATTAAACTTTGATCCAAAAATCAATATGTTTTTACCTTCTCTAAATCTTGCATCGATGAATGTAGCATTATATTTGTTAATTTCTTTTCATACAAAAATGAAAGAAACTAAAAGTATGGTTAATCTTTCCTATTGCTTATACGAATGTTAAAGGGTTTGCAAAAGTGTATAAACTCATTACCGAAGTCTTTAAAACAAAGTTTTTTTCATTTTACTATACAGAAATGGTACCGTTTCCTTGTGTCTGTATCATTTTGGGGGTTTTCCTAACAATAGAGTCTACAGTATATACAGCACCGAATTGTACTCCACAGATAACGTAAGTATTTAACAATCGAGAAATTCTCATTTTGCGTGCAGAAAATTGAAAACAATGTCAAGTAACATAGAGCATTGTCGACTATTTTGCATACCTTGGATAGTTTATGTCGCAATATTCAAACAGCAATAACATAATTGAGTATTATCTTCCAGTGGATACGATATTCCTGATAGTGTGTCACCTTTCAGGATGTCATTAAAAGAGAGTACGCTTCTGAACCTGGGGTTCTTTATTGTAATGTTAAAATGTCATCAAAGAAAGATGTATGGACGCAAATGTGACCAGATACATGTTTGACAGATGGCTAAAGAATCTCTAAAGTTCTATACATCGCATCTGCCTTTCTTGTTTAATTTCCTAGCTATTACCGAATACCATGGATCACCAGATTTCTAATTACAAGGTTTTATATAGCTCTTACTATATAAATCCTTGGTAATTGCAAAGAGCTACAACGTTGATTGCCGGTAGTTAAGCAGAAACTTCTCAACCTTCTGCAATCTTCAAAATAACCGAAGTGTTTAGTAAGGTTTCAAATGCTCAGTTTTTATGTATTTTATTGTTATGTATGGCTATTGTTTCTTTTTCGTCTATTTTCTTTACTTCGTGTTTAACGCCACTTTCAGCCACGTTTGCGATATTATGGCGGTAAGTTTTTATTAGGGGAGGAATCTTGAGTACCAGGAGAGAACCAACTACTTCCGGCAGGAAAACTGCCAATACTTGTCAATTAAGATGAACTTGCTTCGAGTGGGTTTCGAACTCATACCATTAGACTGGACAAGCTAGTGTTTAGTGATGATGTACTACATAAGATCTCATGGACACCGAGGCCCCCTGGATGATAAATACAGAACTAATAAACGAAATGGATTATGATTTGAATTGAGTGTTTTCACTATTACACACCGGTAAAAGTTAAATTTTGTCATTTTAGCATTTACGGTTCCAGGAATATGACAGTTGTTTTCCATTCGTTCTGTTGGTTGATTTGATTTTTTCGGGTATCATGGACTTCTGTCTTTTTGAATTTACCTTGGAGTTCGGTAATTTTGTTGATACCTTTTTGTTCAAAAATTCCAAGTTGTGTGATTTCCAGGTGATTAATAACGAACGGAAGCTGCCTATTCAAATGAACTGAAACTTCATGGAGTGTTTTGGACCATGAACCACATTTTAATTTTTATTTCATCTTTCACTATGAACGTTACATCGGTTGAATCATTGATAGTTTGAAAAAAAATCATGATTATGCCTTCTTGATCATTGGGATATAGAACATTCTGTTGTCTCCGGAGGATGAATAGAGAACACTAAACAATGTGGGCTACATTTCACGACTTTAGAGGTATAGTCCTTGATTGTTTGAAAAATCGTAGATGTTTACCAAATGATAATTCGGAAACCGCTTGACTGAATGCATTGTAATTTTCAGTTTCATGCTCATGAGTTACCTCTTCCAAACTATGGAGTTGCAGCCTTAAATTCAATATATATAAATAAGTTGATTGTTTTTATTTTTGTCAGTCGTATGTGTACCAGTCAATGGCGTTACACCCTTAAATACAATATATATAATAAGTAGATTGTAAAGAATTTCAATAGTAACAGAAGTGAAAAGACAAAACGGAGTTGTAATCCTTATCTGAAGGTGTGTATTTGTAATCACTAGATCAAATACAATTCTAATTTACTTTGCGCAGAACTGCTGAAGAAGTGACGAAGAAACATTACAAGTTGAAATAAAATACGACAGTAGTTTTAAACTTATCAATTTGGCGTAAAACTCCTACCCTCTACTTTTTTCATCTTAATTTTAGGTAAATATATGACAATTTAAATAAATTTCTGGATGTATAAAAGCGTTGACCGAAGCATATTTTGTGTGAGTATTCTAAAAATGTGGGTACGATCAACGCTTTTACAATCCTAAAGAATTTTAAAAGAAGTATTCAATTCTTATAAATAAACTTGAATCCTACAACCATAAAGTTTAGAGTTATAGCAAGCATTTTGTTTATTTTTCTATGCACTATTTAGCATTGTCACAGATAGCACGTGCAGTCAAAGCTTTTGTATTTTAGACAGAAATAAAATGTGCTATTAGAGCGTCTCACGATAGTTGTCAGCCAATCAAAATTACGGATTCCAATGAAACATAATTATTAAATAATGTTATTTGTATTCTTTATTTTGTTCATTTATAATTCTTCCAAAACATCCTTTATAAGAAAAATTATAAATAGCGTCCTCACGGAGACAATAACGAGTATAATTTGACAAAAGAACTTTTTTTATAATTCCAACTGATGAAGTACTTTTTCATTCCGGTGTGGTTTGTATTATTCAGTAGAGAAAATGACCACGAAAATGTTCCATTTTTCGGACCCACTATCTGGTTTTCTTTACCTCAATCGTGACATCACCTGATTCAACTCATCACCAACTTTCAGCTTCAAATGAACAACACGATGGGTGCCACTAGTTGATTAGGAACCTTACTCTTCTAAAGCACCTGATTTTTGTTGGAGTTAATTTAGATTCCTGAGTTGTGTTTTATAGACGGTTCTTTGTTTCTCGTCTTTTTTTTTGCCATATTATTCTGTTTTTATTGGACTTATGGTTTTTGATTGCTCATTGGTATCTTCTCTCTCTTTTATAAACTTTTTTATTGTCCTGATTTTACTTCCAATAGTCGACAAAATAAAACACTTGATAAGTACCAATAACAAATGGATTTGTCTCCTAATGTCATTATCGTTTGTGTTGTATATAAAAGATGTGTTGTCGTACAATTAAGTTCATACAGGGCAAAAGCCGGCTATGTGATCGGCTGTTGTTCATAATTGTCTTATATGTTATTACAGCACATCTACTTTATTCATATTTTGATTTATTATAGGTCATGTACAGAGCAACAATCGTACACAGTTCAAGTGAAATATCATAAAAAATGTGGTAATTGGAGAAAATGGTGGACTTGTACTAAATACAAGTAATTTTGTAGTTCTAGATAATTTGTTTAAACATAATCCCGAATTTTGCTCTCTGAAAAGATTGTATTAGATTTTGATTTTTTAATTTGATTTGCAATAACACTGCTGTCATTCTGTATATGGAATGAAATGACCGTAAAAGAATAAGTAACGGTGGTCAAGTATATATTGCGATCGAAAGATATCGTACAGGATCGATCGGATGGATTCAATTGTAGATGCAATTCAACTTAAAATCCACTGATATATCAACAAATAAAAAAAAGTAAAATGTCTGTCAAAATGGATTAACATAATGATCAAAGTTTAAACGCTCACAGTTTTAACACACCTACAAAAGTCATATAAATGTAGACAAACTTATTATCTGTTCTTAAATGGATTTTAAAATTGTTTGTAATATTCAAAAGACAAAATCAGAGAAATTGTAAAATTTATATAAATTTTAAATTTCTTATCCTGAGACGGTTTTTATTGATCGAGAAAAAATAATCGTGAAAGATCAGATGCCGCTGATTTATTTTTGCCAAAAAACCTTGAAAGCGTCCATATCATTCTGTAATTATATGATGATTTATTATTGTTATTGGTTCAATACCATTGGATGAGGTTCATGAATACATATACGCCGACTAGTCGGTTGATCTCTACAATTATCACTGTATGTCTGTCCGCCTACACTTTTATTGCGTATAATCAATCAAGATGCATCGTCAGATATCAATCATACATATGCGTCAGAAACGCTTTTCTGGATTAATCTTCGTCAGGAACGCGGGAACCTTAACATGTGAAATCTGGGGATATACAGCCTAGTGGTCTAGAGCTCTGGACACAGTGCAGGCGGTGTTGTCTTGATATCCCAATAGCATGAGTTCGAATCCAGACGTGGGAAGAACAAAAATTTGCTTCCGCAAATTTGCAGATTTAACATTGTTGTGCTGATATTTAGAGTAATTATGAATATAATATGTGTTTCCGGCCGTGTATCACCTTCACTGGTGATCCAATTAGTGTATTTGTCTTAAAAAAAGTTTATTCAATTTCGTTTTTCATTTATATGTCATGCTTAAGGGAAAAAAACCCAACTTTATTCCACAATTATAGTTAATACTTACTTATGTGAGATATTTTCAATAATCAATAATCGGAATTTAATATCTAAGAAAAAAATATAGTTTCAAACGATCTGCACGCGGAAGAGCAATTCATAAAACAATAACAATTGTATCACTCCAGATGCACATTTCAAAACATAACGTCTATTCGAAATAAGGGGTATTATTAACTCATTTTGAGGTATGTAGAATGCAAGTATGACAAATCTTTTTAAGAAAGGACAGCTCGCAAACTTTTCCCATATTTTTACGAACATTATACAGAAATATTTAATAATCGCATTGATGTGCACCTCAACAAAAAACGTCTCTTCTGTTTCATATGTAATGATGATGAATTAACTCTATCATTTGCAAGCTTTCTGTTTTATTTCAGGGACGAATATCGAGAAAGAACTGTTTGTTGTCCCCATTACACAGGATCATATTGTAATATAGGTAAAAACTAACAATAAATTAATAAAGAACGTCTTCCACACATTCAGATATCGTTCACAATCACATTAGCCGTTAAATTTTCAAATTTAAAACGCGAGGCTCGCCGAGCGTTTTAAATATTAAAAATTTAACTGTCGAGCGTGGATAAATATTGTATTGCACAAGATTTGGTGGTGGAATCTGCTTTTCTAATGATTTTTAAAGGATATGAAGACAAATTCAACCCTTCCTTTCGAATAATCTGCCAAAAAATGTGTTCTTTCTATGTGACGTCATCAGGCATGGTCGCCTTTTTTCATGATAGAAAAGAAAAGGGAAAATCCAAAAATAACAGAACAGAATTAATTTACTAAAGGTCTTTTTATTGTCGGTACTATGAATCTGCAACTGTTTCGGTTTTGATACATCCTTGGCTTTTAAATATTCTACTTTGAGAGTTACAGATAAAGATGAAAAAAGGCAACAGTAGTATACCGCTGTTCAATAGTCGATTTAACAGAAACAAATCCGGGTCACAAACAACCGAGGGAAACACATCAACTATTAGAGGAACATTTTTAATGCGTTGATAATTTGGTAATTTTCTACGAAATCATCCATGATATTATTAGTTGATCAGAATACATGCAGATAGCTGTGAAAAAAAAACCTTTTGAAAAATGGGCCTGATACGAAATTCATTCAGTGAAATAGACCCTCCTTTTTTTTTTATTTTAATGTTAGAATTATTCGATTTGACGAAGTAATGGTTCACCTTATTGATGGGTTTGGCTATACTTTTAAGGTTCCTATTGATCACAAATCTCCTCACTGTTTAATTCACATCCTGGGTTTTCAAGTCATTTTGGTCTAACTATTCCTGATTTAGTTAAATTCAGAAAAGCGCTTCTGACGCCAAAAAAATCTAGTATTATTTTCATTTGTTGTTGCAATGACAACAATGGCGATACAGGTATTCTTCTTAGTCCTTAGTTTTCTATGTAGTGTTTTGTAGGCTGGTGTTAAGCTTTTCGTCGTTTTTTGTTTTTTGTCATGGTTTTGTCGGGTTTTTTTTTCGACTAATGAGTTTTAATTGATCCTTTTGTATCATTTGCCTCTTTTATTGGGACGGTTTTGTAGTAGATTTTTAAAAATGTCGAACAAGTTTTGAAGCTCTCTGTGCATATATCCTTTTTCATTTATATCATATTCTAGAGCAATAATTATTACTCACGATAGTTGTTAAGCTACATCACAAGTTCGTGAAATAGATTTCATTTGAATGAAAACTGGGGCCGATATCTACGATGAACCATTGAAATATCTACGGATGTAGATTTTTCTTCAACATAGTGAGTCCAATTCTCATATTATGATTATATATACCCTGTCTGAAGCCTGAAATACAATTATATTACGGATTACATATGCACTAATGTATTTTCCATTATTCATTTATAATCACCATGCAGTACATTTTTCTGTATATCTTGTGTCCTTTACTTTTTTCATCTTGACATATTTTTCTCGATAAAACATTTTTGCAATGAATTTGAATTCTTTCTTTTCTTTGCAGTTTGTAAGAAATATTTTTTTTAAATGTTTTTTGAACACCAGAAATATTGATAAATCCAACCTAATTTTTCCGTGTAAGTGAACATTTATAACTTGCATTGAAACTAATTTTCCCTTGTATGTGTTCCGGACCATATGAGTATTTGGACCATACGCGTATGGTCATGACCATCTACGTATATACTCATATTGTTCGACCACACGCGTATGGTCCAGGAAATTAACACGATGAACGTTGAAAAGGTGTTACATAAATTAAAAGTTTCTAAAAATTAAATTTTGACTTGTTCAATCATATTGTAGCCATTGTTACATGATTAATTTAATAAAGTGAATATTACTTAAAAGTAAGAATTATAGTAAAATATGTTTTACATGGTCATTCATCGCTTTGTCCTTACGAAACGCAATTTGTCGACTTTGGAAAATTACTTCAAATATCTAAATGAACTGTTATTTAATAAGTAAATTGCTTAACTCACAGGCACTTTGGTCATTGAACCCTCTTTCTTTTCTTTTTTAAAATTTCTTTTGGTGTTTAAATTTGTTTTTATTAAACTATAATTTCCTTAAAAATTCTGATTGTTTTTAGTTAATTTGTTCATGTGTTCTTGCTCCTATTCATACGGTCTTACAATAACAGTAAGATCGTATGAATAGGAGCAAGAACACACCAATTAAATGAAAATAAGCAGAAATAAGAAGAAATTGTGTTTCTGAAATAATGATTAAAACACTAAGAAAACATAAAAAAAGACCCATGCTCCTAACTCATGTGGTTTCACTTACGGAAGAATATCATCAGTTTAAAGGCGATTTGAATCGACTCCAATCGAAATTGTGCAATTTAACAGATACACCAAGATTCAGACAATATGTTAAAGATAAAAAAAGTCAGATAGTAATTTGTGGAGTTTTTTGTTCAGGGAATGAGCTGTGTGTTCCTGCAAAGGAAGTAAGAATTTTTCGAAAAATACCTATTTGGTCTTAATATTCATATGGTCCGGCCCGTTAATAACCAAACGAGTATAATACTCATATGGTCCGACCATACGCGTATGGTCGGACCATATGAGTATACGTATATGGTCATGACCATACGCGTATGGTCAAAATACTCATATGGTCTGGAACATATGCATTATACTCTACGATAATACTTTAAGTCATTAATTAAGCATTTTGTGTATAAATTGCCTGATTGATTTTTAATCATAAATAAACATACCATTGAAGGATGCTTATATTTTCATATATTATGAGCCTATAAATGATATATAGGTTAAGACTACTTCATAAAGGAACGTTCGTTATGAAGACGTCATTTTGGTTTAAATTGGAGTAAAACATGTCATACATATACCCCGCCAGTTTCCGAAAAATAAACTGACATCTGTGCATTTATCCAATCATAAAACTCAACACATTTGTAATCAGTTATATAGACGTATAAACGTTTGATACTTAATTTTTGGCAGACACCACGTTCTGTAAAGACGTTCATCGGGTATGTGAAGGCTATCTAAAAAAAATGTTTACAAACATCAAAGTCGAAAAATGTTATAAAAGCACAAGGAAAAAGGTAAGGAAGAGATTGTAAAAGCTTAAAGAGAATATCTATAGTAAAGCATTTGTTTTGTGGGCTGTTGTTTACATTTGTATTGTTTCTATTTAGTTTATCCTTGTATGGTATTTCTATTTACTTAATTTCTACCTTATTGGGAAAGCGTATACTATATACGATATGTACTATCAACGACGAAAAACTTTTTTATTTGTGACGTCATTGTTAACGAAACGCGCGTCTTGCTCACAAAATTGTGGTCTTGGCTTCTATTGTGAGTTATTTCTATTGACTACACTTTTTTGTTGGCGTCTTTGTTTGATTGATAGCGTTTAATTTTGCCAGTTTTTATAGACTTCCCATTTTTGAATTTGTCTTGGAGTTCAGTATTTTTTTTATATTTTTTTTTATGTTTTTCCTTGACTAAGCGTTAGCTGTTTATCTTCGATTTATATTTTTTATCATCATTTTTCTTAAAAGCCTATTGCAGTCGTATACAATTAAATAGACAACATTCCTGGTCATGCAAGAAGTACTACGAGCATGACAGTGTCACACACAGAAATTTTTATGTTGAACGGATCAGTGGTGGAACATGTGTAAAACCAAACATCTGTCAATGCTGCAATGATGGTTTTTATGCTGATCATAGTGATGGATACTGTAAAAGTGAGTTACACGTAGCACAACATAGTATTTCTTTGTTCATATATATATTTACTTTGATTAACATTCGCATGTTTATTAATCTTTGAAATAAAAAGACATTGCTTCTCCAATACATAGATATAAGAAGATGTGGTATGAGTGCCAATGAGACAACTCTCCATCCAAGTCAAAATTTATAAAAGTAAACCATTATAGGTCAAAGTACGGTCTTCAACACGGAGCCTTGGCTCACACCGAACAGCAAGCTATAAAGGGCCCCAAAAATTACTAGTGTAAAACCATTCAAACGGGAAACCAACGGTCTAATCTATATAAAAAACGAGAAACGAGAAACACTTATGAACCACATCAACAAACGACAATTACTGAACATCCGATTCCTGACTTAGGACAAGTGCAAACAATTGCAGCGGGTTTAAACGTTTTAATGGTACCAAACCTTCACCCTTATCTGAAACAATAGTGTAACATCACAACATAGAAAGACACACTATAAAATATCAATTGAAATGGTTTAACTCAATCAAAAGACATATATGGTGCCTGTTTTTGTAAGAATCAGTCAATTTTGAAAAAAATCAAAGCATGGCCGAAAAAAACCCACCGACCTAACCATACTATTTTGAAGTTACTTCATCCTGAGTTAGAAATGGTAGATCTTTAATTTCTGCATGCCTGGTAATTCGAGAAATCTTTAGATAACTTTTGGTTAGAATGATAGCAAATTACAGAGTTAGCTCCCCTTATTTATTAATTTCTAGTACAGTTCAATCAAATTATATCTTGAATTACCAGAATTGGAAAAGAAAACCAATGTTATATTCGTGCACCATTATGCATTTTGAACATAAATTAATGTCAACTTGAATGGGTTTTTGTTTGTCATGTTTTCACCACTGCCTGATTCTTAGGCAGATTGGCACTTAACACCAGTGAACATACACTGAACAAATAAATTTGATCTATGATACAATGTAAATACAAAATAAATAAACTAAGGGAAGAATAATTAAAGTAACATGTTATACCGCTGTGAAATGTTAAACAATTTAAGAAAAACAATATGCTTGAACAAAATTATCAGCCTTTTTGCAATTACTTTAAACACAGGTAAATGAAAATAATTTTGTTGTTAGGTATACGTGTACAGTTCAAAAGAGAAAGGAAATATTTTTACAAAATAAATGATTTTGATGTTCATAGTACGAAGAAGTGAAAATTTATAGTAATACCAAACACTTATGAAAGCTGGTATATAGACCAGATATAACCCTGAATAAGTAAACATTAGATAACAAAAAAGCATTTCAATTAGTATCAACAGGTCAAATAAACAAGAAAGTACGATTTGAGAGTACTTGTACTCGCAGTTACTGACAGCTAGTTAAAAGCCAAAAACAATTAATAATAAAAAATCATGCATCAGAGACTAAAATCAACTAAAACACATCCCAGGGATTTAGTATTTTAACGTCATGGACAGTCAAAGAAGACATGACAGTTGATTTTCGACAAGAACTGAAGGAAGGCTATTCCTGATTACTATTTTAACTGTAGGTAACAACATCAATTTGTGTTTGCAGTCAGCCATCTCCCACAAATTTAACTTCATAAAATAAAATCGACGAGCTAAAACCTATATTAACATTAATCATCTGTATTGATATTTTTCCTTAAATTAAGGATTTTATTCGGAGCAAGCGTTGGCGGATATGTTAATGTATTTTTTTAAGAATTAGATACAATTATGTCCACTTTATGTAAGTATCTACATGCTATTTGAAATGTTTTTTCCTCATTCGTTTGTTTAGTACAGTGCTTTCTTAGTCATCTTTAATGCTGTTACAACATTAAGGTGAACAATTGAACTGTGTTGTTAAGATCTCAAATTAAATGAATTCTAATTTTTTTTTGAAAATGGCCAAGATATTTAATTGATTGACCAAATTTGACACTAACTCGTTCTTTAACAAAACTTTCTTAAGATTAGACATTATCAAGGATGCTCATTGGTCTTACGAATTCTTACTCTTGAATTAAGTTAACAAAAGCCTCCTTAGATACGATATATCCTCAAATTTATCTTAAAATTAAGATCGGTACATACGTGTTTTGAGATAATTAGGTAAGTCTTCTTAAACTTAGGATGTCCTATTCGAAATGAAAACAACAAATCTTCGAAAAATCTCTGAATTCGATTTCTGTATGTATGTTCTTCAGCAAACTTGTTTTCGAAAAATTTAGACTGCCCTCATGTTATTATGTCAATATATATAAATATTTGCATCAATTGGGGCACATTTCGATCTGTTATTTGTATTAAAATTAATACTTTGTACTTTTAAAAGTAAAATTCAAACCTGATATATAATGTTTAGAGAGGATATCAATAATCCACATCTGCTATCCCTGCACATTTCAAATATCCTTATAAAAAACAGTAAAATAGCAAAAATACCGAACTCCGAGGAAAATTCAAAACGGAAAGTCCATAATCAAATGGCAAAATCAAAAGCTCAATCACATCAAACGAATGGATAACAACTGTCATATTCCTGACTTTGATCAGGCATTTTCTTATGTAGAAATGGTGGATTAAACCTGACTTTATAAGTCAAACATGTATGAACAAAAAGATAACTATTTTGTTTATATTTAAGTAATACAAATTGTAAACCTGCTACGTAACCGCCTCCCTTAAAAAGATATTGATTGATTGATTGTTGGTTGCTTAACGTCCAGTGACAAATATTTCATGCAAGTTCAGGACAAGAACAAATTAACAATCAATACAATAGGTAGATCCTGAAGTAGAGGCCGTCCGGGATGGAGGTCGGAGAAATTTAGATTGCCCCTTGAAAATCTGGGTATATTTGATGTGGACAGAAACTTCGCCTTGCAACAGGCCACATAAGGAGCCCTCAAAGAGTTGTTACAAGTGTTCTTAACGTGCACAGAGCGTGGCATTCTCTCTACACGAGGCATCGAATCTAACGTCCACGATCATTTTGACCGAACGTGGCTGTGTACTTTTACGAAAAAAAAAAGATAATAATAAAAACGTATAAAACAAAATGTTGTTTTATTTTCAGTTTGTCCATTCATTCCAATGTGTGAATTTAGAAGATGCCTTTCGCCATATGTTTCGCCTAATGTATTTCAAAATGAGTGTTTGTTTTGTAAATACGAAAATGCACCCACACGTTTTAAAAGAGCATACAAATACAATAACAGCTCAATCGCGTGTGAAAGTAAGTATTATCATATATAATTTGGTTTAGTCAGTACTCATTGCTAGTTTATATGCAAATGCTATTTGAAATGCACACTGTAAATTTACTGATAAAAAGGACTAATATCACAACATGTCACCTTGATCACAGCAATGTCATAGTTCATTAGTTTTCAGAATTTTCTCCCTTTGTTAGTCGACAGAGATTAAAATTAGATTCATGATCTTCAATTTTCTTTCTCGAAAAGTCTAAAAAAAATGTTAAAGAAAAATAAAGTGATGAAGATGTATAATGCTGATTATTTGGGTTTTGATTAAATTAGATTTGCTTATATTTAGAAACCTGTTCTTGGAGAAGTGACAGTAATAGATGTTTTCCTGGTTTTTGCTCAGATGAATATATGACAAGCTGTATCTGTGTAGACGGGTTTAATAGTACATCTGAACATTGCAGTCGAAGTAAGATTTTTTTTAATCACACAGTTAATAATTGAAACACGACTGATTCTTGAAGAGGAATTCAGCAATGAAAAATTAAGAGGACATTATCAGAACGACACATCTCAATTTATTCAAACCACAGCAAAAAGTAAAACTTGGCATGTGCGTTGATTAATATTTTTTTGTAATAGTGAAAATTAAAAAAAAAAAAATGAATCCGAAGACAAATATTTTTTTATTACATGTAGTCATGCTTGAAAATCTTTTAAAATCCTTGTTATTTTTTCATTGTTTTTGAAAGAATGCCCATGTTAAATGTGTGCAAAATCTAGAGAGAATAATTTCCAGCCAATTTTTCAATGGCTTATACTTCGAAAACAAGGAAACGGACCCTTCATTTTTTCTGTTTTCTTAGTTCTGTTTTCCATATGCTTTCAATTATAAGAAGCTTGTTATTCTGAAACAGAGTAGCGAACATCCTTAAGTGAGCAAACAAACATAAACAATGTCACTCTATACGCAGTAAGGGAGCAATCATTTAACTTCAAACAAACTGGGGGGGGGGGGGGGAGAGGGGGTGTTCTGGGTTTTTGTCTGAGTCAAAAATTTTTTTTAGTTTTTCGATGCTATCAATCAAATTACTTTTTTCAAAATTTAACACTATAAGGTATGGGGAAAATCTGGATTCAGAATATTTTTTTGTCATCTGCTTGACCACAATTTTTTTTTCCATCAAATTGGGGATCAGAATATTTTCTTTAGAAAAAAAACATAATCCCCCCTCCCCCCCTCCCCCCCCCCCCCCCCCCCTGGGTCGTTAAATGGTCGTTCCGTAACAAAATAACAAAGCAACATGGAGATGAGTTCCGTTTAAACAGTTTGACTTTTTATATCAAGGAGAAAACATATAGTGGAGTGACCAAGTCAACAATTTCAATTTTAAGGGACCACCCCAACTGCAGGCTAAATTATGAATTTTCGTTTAGAGAAATGTTTAAACTTCGTAGACTCGAATGAAAAATAGAACAAATTTGTAAGATTTGAGGTCAAAGTTCGGAAGTTGAGTTTTTCATTGGTATAAAAAAAAATCACAAGGGGTTATAAAAAGTCAGGAAATAATATCTGAATTGTGAAAAAGGCAAGACATTACTCCTATAACGAAAGAATAAACAATAACAGTTCACTTTCGAGTCAATTTGGAAAAAAATTGTAATCACCAAATGCCTATTTTAAGGGACATTCAGTTGGGCAACAAGAAAAATGCAAAACAGGAAATGGCTTTCAATTGATATTTTGTACAGTACATGTACATTTAAAGATATATTTCTGTTTTTTACGCGGTTTATTAAGAAGTAGTCGAAGTTTTTTTTTTTTTTTTTAATTATATACCGCTTGCGAGACGCAAATATTTCACTAAGTAACCGACAAAAATGGTTTAAATGAAGTACAGATTAGTAAACATATATTTTTCTGTTGTGAAAATTGAGATTATATGGGCAGGAATTTTTACATGAGCAGCCTACTATGAACCCCTTAAAAAGAGTTGCTGCAAGGGTCCTTTAAATACCACGTGCACAACATTTTCATTGTTCTTCTCTGGGTTAAACATTAATCATCGTTAAAGATGAAACCCCCATCCCTGAGTTCTACTGTAATATATGTATACGAAATATTTTTCCAGTATTTCTGACTTTACATAATTTGTTCAAACATTGTTTTCATCGTAGTCTTCTTCGAAAATTGCTTCGTGAGTAAAATGATTCCTACATTCCTCAAACCCTCCACACGATCAAATACTTGGACAAACCGAACTCTGTGTGTTGCATACACAACTTTTATTTCAATCTCTTCACCCTTGCATGTAAAAACAAGAAAATATGATGACATAGGTCTCTCCAGGAAAACCCGTGTGTGTTCTCAATTCTTCAAGCAAATGTGTGATCTTTATAAACAGTAAAGAAATCGTCAATGCCTTAGTGCTTTTGGATAAGACAAAACATGAACTTCGACTGTCAAGGAACGCAGTCCATACTTTTGGTTCAATACTTTTTATACAGTTTATGTTTCTTTATCAATTGAAAATGCTTTAAATAAAGGAGCCATGAGAGCATCATAGGGCAGTATTAATTCTGGGACACTACGATTAAACTGTTCGCAAATAAGAATAAGCTTACTGTATTTAGAGCATAAACTCCAGAGTCAACACATATGTCATCTAGCCCAGCTGAAGTTAATAACTTACTAACTGTTGCTATAAAAGAGAGATGAAAGCCCATGACATTCTCAATTTCTTAAAATGTGGGACTAAAAAACGTCTGCCATAGACCATATTTCTTATTTGGCTTTAGCATGCAATTGCTGGTCAGACGTTTGCACAACATTTTGCTGAACATATCCAAACATTATTTCATAGTGGTAATTATAATAAACTGTTGCTATGTTCGGTGTAAATGACTGGAGCATAAGGTAGAAACGTATATACAAATTTGAATTCTGACAGCCTTTTGTAAAAGCTGGTCCGAATTGGGGAACATTTTGTTAGTGTTTTCTGTACAAATTGGTTTTGCATCTAAGTTTTGTCTGAAATAAAATGGATAGATATCCAAGACTCCGAAGTATCGATGTTTTCCTTTTTTTTTTAGCTTGTCGATTGGTAAGCATGACATAAGTTTGTTATTAAAATCATCAAACGTCAAAGATCTGTCTAGTTCAAGTCAAATTTTAAAGGAACTTACGCCACTGTCCCAGGTTAGGGGAGGGTTGGGCGCCCGCTAACATGTTTATCCCCGCCACATTCTGTATGTGCCTGTCCCAAGTCAGGAGCCTGTAATTCAGTGGTTGTCGTTTGTTGCTGCGTTATATATTTGTTATTTGTTCATTATTTTGTACATAAATTAGGCTGTTAGTTTTCTCGTTTTAATTGTTTTACATTTGTCATTTCGGGGCCTTTTGTAGCTGACCATGCGGTATGGGCTTTGCTCATTGTTGAAGGCCGTACGGTGACCTATAGTTGTTAATTTATGTGTCATTTGGTCTCTTGTGAAGAGTTGTCTCATTGGCAATCATACAACATCTGCTTTTTTATATTATGATAGCGTTTGAAGTGTCTGTTTTCTACTGAAAGACAGCCATAAGTTTGGAGTGAAAAGTATTTTTACCATCAATTGTCTCAGCATTAATGTCAATATAATAAGCTCCCGCTTAAATTATATGAACACCTTCTTGAAATGCAGCAATACCATAAGATAAATATGACATGTTTGGATTTTGCCTATTTCCTAATTTTATAAGGAATAAATAGTGAGATATTTTCGTACTTCCGAGTATCATGCACGAAAGCTATGGGAATTTAGATTGTCATTTACATTATTCTTATCCACACTCAAGGTGTAGTTGTAACGGAAATTTTACATGAAATGGTATGAAAAAATAGTTGCTTAATGTAACTATACATTCTGCTATTGCTAAGACTTTAGACATCTTGCCGTCAGGAAGTTCAGAAGTAAATACCCTCACCATTGTAAGCTTAAACATCACCTATCCACAACAAGAACTTCTTAAGCAAGCAAGGAGTGCTGTATGGCATATGAAATAGATATTTTAGATGTTGTTGGGTAAGTCCTATTTGTTCTTTCTAAGGACTACATTTATGTAGGAATTATTGAAGCGGCTGCGTGTAATGTTTGGTCTTCATTGGTAGTTATTGTCTCAATTTCCGTTTCAATTTCTGTCAGTATTTATCCATATTTTACATGGTTAGCTGCTTGAAAGCCTTTCGAAATCAGTGAAATACTGAACCCTACATTTGATTCTCCCTGCCCTTTTTGTTTCCGTTTAACGATTGATTTTGCATAATGTTTTTCAAACTTACACTGTAGTTTGACTGAATCGTACTTTGTTTTCAATTCATGAAGTAGGAAGCAGCAGTATTGATCAGTATTTTACCAAAAGAAAAGACATATCAAAGGCTTTTTGTGCACAAGCAAGCTTAAGTCTTCAAGGATAACACAAAACAGGCAATGAGAAGCCTTCTCGTATATGTAAAACATTTAACTCATCGTAAAATCTTCTTTCTTCCGATTGCTAAGTTGAAAAAATAACAGAGCAATCCCTGTAGTAAAGGGCCTTGGTTTTAAACTCTTGTGAAAATGGAGTGACTTTATTTCTTAATGTCGTTTAGATAATTTAATTATTTTTTATGGAGCCCTTCGTCAGATTCATTGAAACGTAGATTTTTTTCGAGTTTCTACGATTTGTGCTTGCAGAACATACTAGCAGTCCAGTCAAAAGGCATGGGCATTTATCTGGTCATAACAGACTAAGATATATAATAAAAAAAGTTTGCGAAGATGTCAGCATTAGTGAACTACTATGCGTAGATATATTCTCGGAATAACAATTATCCGCTCCAATTTCACTTTAATTGTTGAAAAAAAACTATTTTCAACTTTTAGAAAAAAACACGATAAAATATCATTTTGGCAAAAATTTATCAGTCAAAATCTTTTTAAAGTATTGTTGAATAAACCTGTGATACAAAAATATCAATACCAACATATTTGACAAAAACACGAACAATAGTATGATGAATTTCTGAAGCGATTCGTCAAGAAAAAGTAAATCTACATCGTATCGGTAGGAGAAATAAATCCGAGAATTCATAGAATTATTATGTATATCAAAATATGTCGGAAAACGTGAATTTATTAGAAAAATCTAGCCGGAGAGGTCTCATAACTGTACAAAATGAAGTTTTATAACTTTTTAGCGCGAAAAATTTGGAAAATATCGATGCAATGTAAATTTACAAATGTTGTAACCACTCCGTGGAAATAGAACAGAGTGCATATTATTCTTAAAACTGAGTGATAACGAACAAAAATAAAAGCAAAATAGAAGAAATTATAGTTTTACAATATAAATTAGTCTTTAAACTCTTCATAAAATGCCAAATGAAGAGTTTGATGACTAATAAAAGAAACCAAAAAAAGTAAAATAGTGTGTCGTGTTGCATTTAGAATGAAAAAAAGCAACATGTCTTTTTATTTCCATTTTTTTAAAAACTGCACCGTAGGAAATGGCTACAACCGGGAAAATAGAAAGATTGATGTATTAGCTTTGCAAAAAAAAATTATTTTCAGCCTGCAGTTATGCCGGTTCATTAAAGTCGTAAAATAAGCACGCTTTTCTTGATTTGTCACTCCACTAATAGTCTTTTAAATGGGGTTGTCCATATTCTGATTATTCGAGGCGTATACTAACTTTTTCATTTATTTCAGTTACTAAAGAAATAAACATCACCGACGCCCATGTGCGATTTGTCGATGCAGAAGAAACAACGGTGACATCGCCAGAAGATATTAATTCCCCTCGATCAGTCCCGAAGAAATGGACAAATAATGTACTTCTACAAAAGTTTGAGTTGTCTTTAGGGGCAACATATGACGTATCTGGCGTAATACCCAAGTTTGGCGAGTATAACGATACTAATGGAAGTCTCTCTCATTTCGTCATTGATTTTGCCTATGGTATAATAGCAGGGAAGATGAAAGCTATATTTGTTAGAGGTATAATAATCATTTGGTAACGGATTTATCAATTAACATCAATTTGAAAATTTTATCTTTTACTAAGCTTAAACCCTTGTAAAATTTGACATCACTGAATTAGACTTAACACCATGTTTCAACTTACATGAACAACCCAGCAGTTGCCATATGGAGAAGGGTCTGCTGCCCCTTTTGGAGCTCATAAGATCACCCCCGGATGTTAGTGGTGTTTGGCTTGTTTAATCTTTCGATTTTTATGTTGTGTTTTGTATACTGGTGTTATTCTTTCGGTGGGTTTTTTTTGCCTTGGCATTGTCAATATATGAGTTTGAATATCCATTTGGTATCTTCCGCCTCTCTTTTTAAATTAGTATAGTAACTGAATAATAATCTGTTAAGGTTCCTTTGGTTCATAAGCCGGTGACCATGTATAAATTGATTCCTCTTATATCGAAAAGAATAATCATGAAAAAGAGAGTGAAAGGCATGCCAAATACATATTTTATTTCAGTTGAACATTTTCTTTTTATTATGTTATAGTTTATGATACATTCACCGCACAAGAGCTCTTATTAATTTTGTTTTCCCAAAGATCAACCGACAGGAAAAATCTTACTGAAAAAAATAATCGAGAGAGTAGGGATTAGAAATGAGGTAAATTTCTTATAATTTCATTGAAATATTTGGCCAATATTTTTAATTCAAAATTGTGTTATTAGAACTTACATGTTACGTATGTTTATTTCACTTCTATGTGTGTGAAAAAAGGCGTTTGCATATTCCATGTTGTTAGTCAAGAGGTCACAGAAGCCCTCGTTGCCTCTCCTATATCTTACCGTTTTGTTAGTCTACCATAATAATCTTCATACCATAATCGTTTACATATTGAAGATAAGGTTTAATTTCCTTTGTATTGTGATCTAACTAGTATGCTTCATCTACATTGCTCTGACCTAGCCTGTCAACTCTAAGATTGTTAGTTCGAACCCGGGTTTAAACAACTGTCATACAAGCGGAAGGTTTAGCTAGCTATACAACCGGGTTTAACACACCATTTTCTTTGGAAGATGCCTGTACTAAGTCAGGAATATGACAGTTGTTTTTTCACTCTTTCCGTTGGTTGTCAGTTTTTATAGACTACCACTTTTCTTAATTTACTTTGGAGTTCTGTATTTTTGTTATACTTTTTTAATTGACAAGGTTCGTCAGTTTCTATCAAAAGTATGAAGTGAACTCCGGGTACTCCAAAATTAAAAACTGACAAACATCATAAAGCCAGGTTCGATGAAAGTGGAGTGAAACAATCTTTGACAATATTATCAATTGTTTGATTCTAAATTTACAGGCTCTTATAACTAAAGTAAATATTCATTCTATTACATGAAACTGCTTAATTCGTATTCATTGTTATTTTTTTCAGATGATGAACCTGATAGATCGCTTTTCAAAAATGAAGACTGCAATAGTAGTTGTCATGAAAGGTCTCCTTGTCCGGTAAATTCCATGTATCGCTGTGAAAGTGGCAATGTGTCAGTTGGCTGGTTAGGTTTAAAGCATAATGACCAGTAAGTTTTATCTATGATGCACAGTTGTACATTGTACCTATATAACATTTTTTGAATGATGACTTGTAATCAAGCAGACCTAGAAAAATCGACACTATACGGTTACACGTATTTGTCTATGTATATATATTTATATATTTGTTTGTATCGGGTTCTATACCATTGGTATTCTTCGGAGGTCATCTTGATGGTTTATTCATTAGCTGGCGTATAGTCTTAAACACGAACGGAATGCTGATTTATAATAAATAGTCTTTTGCATTGTTGGTTGTTCCTTTTGGACTTTTTGTAATTCGAATGTATGTTTTAGTATGTCACTCATCAAATATGAGAATTTGAGTCAAATCGGTGAACATGAGTTTGACAGCTTATGTCTCCTTAAAAAACATGCAATTCTTTATAAAAAGTAAAAAAAACCAAAATTACCAAACTCCAAGAAAAATTCAAATCGGAAAGTCCTTAATCAAATGGCAAAATCAAAAGCTCAAACACATCAAACGAATTGAAAACCTCTGTCATATTCCTGACTTGGTACAGGTATTTCCTTATGTAGAAAATGGTGGATTAAACCTAGTTTTATAGCTAGCTAAACCTCTCATATGTATAACAGTCGCATAAAATTCCATTATAATGACAACAATGTGTGAACTAAACAAACAGACATAATAGGTAAAAATGTGAAAAATAGAGGTTCAAAAGTCAACATTGTGTTATAATCTTAATCACTATAAAAACAAACAAATATGTCAACAAAGAAAAACAAAATGACATATAGACAAAGCACATAAGCAAAAAAGATAGACAAGAATACGAAAATTTACCATAGCACAATAACACAATTACGGGATGTATCGATCCACGCCAAAAGGATATTACCAAAAATGGACTAAACAATCAAGATAATAATTCACAAAGACAAATAAAAGAACAACATAACACGTAATTTAGATGATAAACCACGTCAGTACCTAGAATCTTTACTTCATGTATATTTGTGAAGATGATACGGAATATATATCAACAAAGTTTTGGTATCTTCCGATGAACTTTTTTAGAAAAAGGCCGAGACGTTCTTTGACGTGACCCTGGTTCATCAACTTTCTGCTCAGACACTAATTAAGTGATGCTTATTTCTGCAACAGCCAAACATAATTTGAATTGGAACTACACGAAATAGTAAGGACTAGTTTGACTGACCTTAACAATCCGTCATTTTGATAACTACGATTAATCTAAAAAAGGACAGAAAATTTAATGATGCATGCTTTCATGAATATTTGAATATTTTTGATATCTATTATTTATCAAATATAATGGCAGTTGGAACATTTGTTTTTCATTTTAAAATGAAATTGGAATACTTCCAAAATATAAATATGTTGTATCCGTTTAAAGTAATTTTAATTTCTATCAAGTTATGTTTTGTTCAACTTGATTTGTAAAGAAAGTAATATTGGATTTAAAATACTTTTTTTGTTAAGTACATTGACAGACCCTTTGTATTATTCTTAAACTGCTTCTTGTTAAAACATTTGAAATATATCCTGCAAAGCAAACACTTATTCTCAATCAATCAATCTTTTGTTATTTCCATTTATAAAGAGAGGATTGGGATCTTAACAAAACCAATATATTGATTGCGTACATTGTAGCTTTTGTAGCCTCTGTTAAATCTATAATTAACAAATTTTGCGTTTGTAAAGTGTATAGATATGTTTCGATTGTTGTGTTCATGTATTTAAGTTTTAATTGTCGTTGTCTTGGGTCTCATTCCCTATATCCGATATTTCCGTTTATTCTTCGAGAAAATGAGTTGTAATGCTATATTCTATGATTACCGAAGTCATTGTTCTCGAACCTTTAAGTAATCTTTTTGCATTTGATATCTAAGTTAATCTTCATGTTACATCGTTTACAGGGTTATTGTATCTGTGGTGCTTCAAAATGGGGGATACTTAGTCTATGAGAACAGAAATGACAGATACAAATTTTCCATAGAAAAGAAATGGCCTGCTAATTATGTATCATTAATAGGAATCGAAACTACAGAAACCTATAAATTCCATTGGGATACAGTTCTTCCATACTATGACTGTTCTAAATGGTCCTGTCCATCGGTACCTGTTTATGTCCCTGACGTATCAAAAACTGTAGGTATTTAAACAATAATGTACATTTACTAATATATAGAGAATATTACATAGTAAAATCCGTATCACATGCTGTATCAGCTCGAGTAACCAATATCAGCAAAATGAGTGCTGACATTGGTTACTCGGGCTGATACAGCTTGTTATACGGGTTACTCTATATTCTTTGGTGTTTTATTTGAAAGAGTTGCGGTAACAAGTGCTTGCATGAATGAAATATATGGGCACATGTGTCCCTCCGGTGGCAAGAGCGTTACATGTCCGACATTGTCGTATTCTTCTGAAATTTCAAGCGAATAACAACTGAGGAGTTCCGAAAACAGTCTCAAGATGTTCGGAAAGGGGTATGCGATACGGATTTAGCGATTCGGTACAGGGTATGCGATACAGGGTAGATGATACAGACTGGAGAAAAGAAACTTTATTAAATACACAAAATGTCTGTATTTGATACTAAATATATTATGATAAATAGATTTATCATATACTAATCATTAATATTATAGTTTTCGCATATGTGTAACGAGCGGAAGTAAACTAGTTATAAATTCACACCCACATCAGAGGCCTCTCGTGCAAATAATCCGTTACAGTGCAAAGTAAAATAACAAAAATACCGAACTCCGAGGAAAATTCTAAACGGAAAGTCCCTAATCAAATGGCAAAATCAAAAGATTAAACACTTCAAACGAATGGATAACAACTGTCATATTCCTGACTTGGTACAGGCATTTTCTTAAGTAGAAAATGGTTGATTTAACCCGGTTTAATAGCCTCACGTGCAAGTTACTTCCGGTATTTCTGGTATCGTCTGTTTACAACAAATATCTGTCACACAAAGGCATGACAGAGGGTGATCGGTTTATTAATGTTGCAACTGTGCTATTTGAGCAGTCTATTTGCATTGACCGTATATTCATACGGATATACAGTCACTGACCGTAAATCGCGTTATGACGTTGTAAATGCGTTTCCGTAGAGTTTTCTCTATGATGTCAATACAGAATACAGGTTCGCGGAATTTTTACGTCGTCTACTTCAAATTAAAAATGATGTTTTTTTTAACCCCCGAATACTTCATTTGGAACAGTTGTAAGAGTTACAGTACATAAAGAATAAACATACGGTGTCTCGAATTACAAATTTTATTTGTACTCGGCTCAAAAAAGATTAATACATGCTATTTGTTTCATGTAAAAACAATTTGTCGGAGGTATATGATAAACAGATTGATATATGTCCTTTTCCATATCGGCCTGGGTATCATCCCTCGACTTACGTCTGGTGCTGATATGGCTGTCCCGGGATGATTCCCGAGCCGATATGGAAAAGGTCATGTACTAATCTGTATATATACATGTTGATGCAGACCATGAAAAGTAAATAAACACTTTGAGTATACAAATGTACAAATCAATACAAAAATTAATTAACATTGCAATTACGAGTAAATTTTATCAGTTTCAACTGCCGAGGGAAAATAGCGACTCATTCCACATATGAAATCCTGAGAATCATACAAACTGAGCAGTCTTCATTCATTAATATCTCATATGTACAAGGCCTCGCCGTGACAATGGGATGAAGAACAACCGGAAAAGCGCTGTTCAGTTGCTTTTGTATGTACATGTAATGCATGTCATGAAACAATGCACGATATTATTTCTTTTCCATTAAAGACTATATATACCACATACCACTAACAATTAAACAAAATAGATGTCGCTAACGTTTTTATTCCTTTGGCAAACATCAAGTTACCGTAGTATCATCAGGATGATTGTTACAAATACAGATTGATATACTGACGGACTTTAAAAACACAACACTAGATTCTTCTTTTTTACTCTCATTTTCAAATACATTTCATTCTTTACTTCAACGTTTAAATGTAGTTCACAGATCGAAAGTTAACCCGGGTTTTCCCCTTATCAACGGATGTGTGACCGTCGAAGACAATGATTGCGCCTGTAACAAACGCATAAATGATTGACAGAAAGGTCAAAATGTTTTTTTCTGCAGTCGACTTTTTGGCATTTCAGTTAACGGGAAGCATGTATGGCATGAATATGTCTGCAATGGTATTCGACGACTTGATTAACAGTTGCGAGCGCAAACATGTCTCGCAAATGACGTCTTACTATATAATGATCTGGTCATGGGAGGTCACCAAAATGGGTTTTTAAAGTCTGTTAGTATATATGAAAAGGGAATTCTTAGGGAAATATTCTCCAAACATGATCTTGAAATTAAAACAATCCAGGGCAATAACTTTTGGATTTTTTTTTTGACAGAGTATGATAAGTATTCATTGGAACATCTGGTCAGATGATCTGTCTGAAATTGATTATTACGATATTGAAGTATTTGAAATGCACCATGTTGGAAACAGCACTGACAACAATGAAATAGTAGAAATAATGGAACCTCGAGTACACCAACCAAGACTTAAGAAGCTAGAAGTATGTTCAAATAGAATAATATATGATGTCACAAAAAGAGTGTCCTATTAGCTGCATAATTGTAATTTTGTACAATTTGATATACATGATACTTCAATGCAATACCCTTTAAAGTGGGAACAGTTTTGACAATTAATTTGAGTTTGTACTTAGCTATACTAAATTTCAGCCTGCCAAAATTTTTTTCAAATTCTTTTCAGATAGATGAAAACCGTTAAACAAAATACACGGCTGAACATCTGTATGAGAACTGCAATCTGAAGATGATTTAATCTAATATTAATTATATAATCAAGTACTTAACGATGGAACTATCAACTTTTTATTTTTTTCCTTTGCATCAAATTTTCTTAATGAATTTTTGATATATTTCAATATTAACGATATGCGATTAAGTATGTAAGATTTTTTCAATCATAAAGTGTACTGACAAGTACTACAGTCTACCTGATAATGGGTAAAAAAATCTGGCTAAGTCAAATCGGTATCTTTGCAAATCTTCAAATTAATAAACATTTAAGGATTTTTGTCATATTGAAGCGACAAGTTTTAACTACACGTGACACTTCAGATCCGGAAAGAACAGTTTCTATAAAAAGTTTTTTTTTTTAAAAGCTGTTATGTACCGCTGAGAAGAGAATTAAGGCATCATCATACATGTAAAATTTGTTGACAATCTTCGAGCTAAAATTAATTATTTAACTACAATATGAAAATATCAAGATGTGAAATGATTGCCAATGAGACAATTTTCCACAGGCGACCAAATGACGTAGAAATTGGCAAACAAAAACTCTCTGTTCTATACGCAATTAAATTATATCGACCAACATGACAGTAATTTTTAGAAACTTTAGATCTCTTTGGGTAGACGTTGAAAACATAATTTCATCCGATGTTTAGTCGTAATCTAAGAATTAATATTCTTACTTGTTTTATTTTACTTATGAATGAGTTCATTTTTTATCTAATAGTACCATAACTTATGCAGATATAGCAAGTACGGAGTTATTTCGTTTAGGAGAGAATATAAAGATAATTTAAAAATTTCTTCGAGAAAGTATTTAATAGAAAAACAAAGGATATAAGTTCTCCATGCATGACACAAAATCAATACATGCTCAGCAAATAAAAAAAAACAAAACATAAAAACCAAAGGAACAGTGCTTTTATTGCTGTTTTTCATCTCAAAGTCACAGCGATGTGTTTGTTTATCTTAACGTATAACATAAAATATCATAGTGGAAATTGGAAGGTTTATAATACAACAACCTTATTTCATTCAGAGTACCATAAATGTGACGGTTCCAGGCATGTATGCTGTTCATTTCACTGCTTTTGACAGAGCTGGAAACTATAAGTCTGCAAGAGGGTTATTTCTATACGACAACAATGAAGACATAGAATTAGGCAGAGGCAGTATTGAAGTTATTCAAGCAAAAAATTATTCAGAAAAAGGCTGGATAACCTACCCGAGTTCTCGCATTCATGTGACTTGGAAAGATATGTTTGTGAAAACAGATCATTTAAAGCACAACTGGCTTGCTAAAGTTAAAAAGTTTGACCATATTGAATCGTCATATGATGATAACAGTGGAAAACGTACCATTGAAATGGTTCCCAACGTCAAAGGTATAAGCATATTTGGATCTGAAATGAAGTATGGAAACTGGTCATCAAAGGCTAACGTTTAATTTTAATATTAATTTCTATACAACATATAAAAATAAAAGGAGATGATAAGTAAACGTCAACGAGACAGCAATCCAGCTTCACAATTAACTAAAACGCATTTATAGAGTCGACATTGAATCTTTATTTTTTTACAGTTTTGAGTACAATATGACAAGCCCTTAAATGAACATCGACCGACTTCTCAAGTTTTGTTGATCGGTTCATGTTGTTTAATAGTGTTGTCTTTTCTTTTTTTACTTATAATTTGTATTACCTCCGTTTGGATTTTTTGGTCATTTATAACAAACACTTTCATTCAAATAAAAACAAAGACTATATAATTGCCTTTAAATTAAAACTCGGTTTCTATTACTACCTGCCTTTGAAGTAAAGATACATAGCTAGTTGAAACTGAATACACCTATATGAGTATACCACAGCCAACATCTGCCTTTATTACTACTTTTTCGTTCTCTCTGCTGTGTGCATTTATAAATGCTAGGGCACTTCAGAACATTTTTTTTTCTATGCTTGATGTATGAAAACAAACTACTTGAATCCAAGGTAAATAATTCTTTGGGATCAAAATGACCATAGAACAAGTGAGAAGTTATGTTCCCTTTAGACCTATGTTTAACACCTTTTTTTTATTCTAAAGGCTCTTTGCCTAGTCTGGGCTATGACAGTTAATCGTCAATTGATGTCATGGGCTTGGCTTTCGCTCGACCAATTTTCACAGGAAAGTAGGCATTGTTGATTTGCAGATATACTTTTAAATTTTATGCATCTAAAATTTTAAAGAAGAATAGGCAAAATGGATCCATATCTGCCCTATATGAAAATGAATCAACAGGACAAAACGTGGGTAAATACTCATCAAGGATGCCAGGCTTATAATTTTGTACGACACACGCGCATTTCGTCTACATATGATTCATCAGTGACATTCGGATCAAATTAATGAGATGGTCAAATCTAATACGAAGTTGACGAACATTAAATCACACACATGTGAGAGATTGACAAGATGATAAATGGAAAAGAAGTTTTAAAAGTTAATTTAAGATATTTAGTGCTCATCAACTTTAGAAAATTTTGTGCACATACAAGACACTTTAAAATTTCTTTATTTTCCTTTAACATTAACGAACTAAACCAACAAACATGTTCCCAGTATTAAAACGTATAGTTTATTTTTCTAAATATTTGTTTTGTAATCATACATACTACAAATGAACTGGAAAACATGGTTAGTGTTTGTTTACTCTCACCTTTAGGCACATGTTCAGTTAAAAGTCTTAGATAAATTCATTCACTCATTAAATCGCTGTGACAAACAACTAGAATTGAATTCAAACAAACTTGTAAGAGGTAATCAGGGATGAAATTCGATAATAGATCTATTACAACTTTTTTTTACAGGCATAGTTAAATTTGATATTGCTCATGATGTGTATGGACCGTCAAACAAATCCTCATCTCCATTTACACTTGTTTCTGATGTATATGCTGAAATGGCTGTACAGAATGTAGCATGGGATGATGGCAACAAACTTATTGTCACGATAAGGGCGATTGATCTTTTGGAAAACTACAGAGATGAAATAGTTACTGTGTACAAAGACGCCACGCCCCCAATAATTTCAAATTTATGGCTGACGAAAGGGGATCGTATCAACATTGCTGTCCACAGTGTAGAGGAATTTAACGATATGATGTAAGTATACACATTATTGTGCTCGTTAAGTTTAACAAGAGTGTATACTAGGAAATGTTATCCACTTTTTAGCTCACCTGGCTTAAAAGGCCAAGTGAGCTTTTCTCATCACTTGGCGTCCGTCGTCCGTCGTCGTCCGTCGTCGTCCGTCGTCCGTCGTCGTCCGTCGTCGTCCGTCGTCGTTAACTTTTACAAAAATCTCCTCTGAAACTGCTAAGCCAAATTTAACCAAACTTGGCCACAATCATTATTTGTATATCTATTTTAAAAGATGTGTCCCACGACCCGCCTGCCAACCAACATGGCCGCCATGGCTAAAAATAGAACATAGGGGGTAAAATGCAGTTTGTGGCTTATATCTCTGAGACTAAAGCATTTAGAGCAAATCTGACAATGGGTACAAATGTTCATCAGGTTAAGATCTATCTTCACTGAAATTTTCAGACGAATCAGACAACCCGTTGTTGGGTTGTTGTCCCTGAATTGGTAATTTTAAGGAAATTTTGCAGTTTTTGGTTATTATCTTGAATATTATTATAGATAGAGATAAAGTGTAAACAGCAATAATGTTCCTGCTAAGTAAGATCTACAAATAAGTCAAACATTACCAAAATTGTCAATTGACCCCTTAAGGAGTTATTGCCCTTAATAGTCAATTTTTACCAATTTTTCGTAAATTTTTGTAATCTTTTACAAAAATCTTCTCCTCTGAAACTACTTAGACAAATTTAACCAAAATTGGCCAAAATCAACATTAGGGTATCTTGTTTAAAAAATGTGTCAGACGACCCCGCCTCCCAACCAACATGGTCGATATGGCTTAGAATAGAACATAGGATTAAAATGCAGTTTTTGGCTTATATATTCTGAAACTAAATCATTTAGAGTAAATGTGACGTTAGATAAAATATTCATCAGGCTGAGATCTATCTGCCCTGAAATTTTCAGATGAATCAGACAATCCATTGTTGGGTTTCTGCCCCTGAATGAGTAATTTTAAGGAAATTTTGTATTTTTTGGTTATTATCTTGAATATTATTATAGATAAAGATAAACTGTAAACAGCAATAATGTTCAGCAATGTAAGATCTACAAATAAGTCAACATGATCAAAATAGTCAATTGACCCCTTAAGGAGTTATTGGCCTTTAAAGTAAATTTTTACCAATTTTTCGTAAATTTTTGTAATCTTTCACAAACGTCTTCTCCTCTGAAACTACTGAGACAAATTTAACCAAACTTGGCCCCATCATCATTATGGTATTTAGTTTTAAAAATGTGTCCGATGACCTCGCCTTCCAACCAACATGGCCAACATAGGGGTAAAATGCAGTTTTTGGCTTCTAACTCTGAAACTAAAGCAAAAGTATAATGGTTGCATTATGTTATGCATCAATTGTAAACAAAAATATCAAGTGAGCGACACACGTTCCTTGGAGCCTCTAGTTTTTTATTCTGAAAACTCAATTATACTTATATAGATCAATTTGCGAATATTTTAACTTGTCAATTTTTTAGAATTGAGTGGGATGCATTTGATTACCATAGTGGCATTAGTCATTTGAATTGGAAGTTGTATGACAACTTTACTGGATCAGATATAATTCATGGAGAAATTGACCTGCCAGGTCAAGGTAAAACTGAGGTAATACTAGAGTTACTTATCAACGCATTCAAATGATGACAAATATCATTGACCGAACAAAATATTAGCTTCTAAATGCCCAATATTTGTTAACAACACTTGAAATACGCCAATAAATTGAAAATACAAAATGTAATTCACATGTAAAATATGGGGTTTGAGTTAAGCATGAAATTATGTAATTTCATTGAAACCAATGTTATAAATGTGAGTTGTTAGTGTTTCAAGATACTGATAAAGATGTATAAAACAGTGGTATATCGCTGTTCAGTAGTCATAAATAGAACAAGTCTTTGCCAGAGATATAAACATGTAGATCACCTGTAATGTTCGACTGGTATTGAAATATAGAACAAAGGCAATAACGATATTTGTTTACTTTAATCATTATTTTATTCAAGTTAAGTGAAATGTAAATGTCAATGTATATGCGTAATTCAGATTAATTTTTAGATCCAGAGGGTACAGTACAACTAGGAGAATTCACTCTTCAAAATCATGTGAAAGTTTAAATAACATACTTTTAGTCAAGAGAAATCAAGTTCAGCAATGATCAACAATTGTGTTTGTCTAACTGCCATATATGCAATGATTTCATTGCTGTAAATTGTGTGGTTCAAATGTTTTCAAATTTTGATATTTTGTCAACAGCTCAAAGTAAATAATTTTATGAATTCTATGTTGAGTACCACCTTAGTTTACTCCCAAACAAACATAATCTCGTTTATTTGTTAAGAATAGTTAGATATTACACGTTAATTTCGTTCTTTTCAATTTTAAGTCTTTAAAAGAGTGCGAGGAAAAATATGTAGACTATAAGAGAGGACCGGCTTGCTACTGCACACATTATACAGGATGTTACCACAAACATTTTCATATTAAGCCACATGTAGCAGTAGGAAACGAGACTGGCAATGGAATTGTCCATAACAGATCCATGGGAGTACATGAATCCGACTATTTCATTGATGTAAATGTAACTAACATGGCGACTTTGACTACGATGAAAACAATAAAGGTACACATCCTCTATAAATTAATAACTACTTGATATTTTTAAAATTTACTTCATATTTGTTCATAACAATAAATATTAATTTAGATAATGTAGATTGATATTATGTGTTTCGTTTACATATAACAAGTGTCTTGCATAATTATATCGGAAACAATAATCATTAAATAAATTTATCAATGTTTTTCAAACTTTAAAAGTAAGATAATTTTATTCAGATAACAATTGATATAACGCCACCAGAACCTGGACATGTACATGATGGCATATATGGTTTTCCAGAAATCGATTATCAACAAGATCTTCAACTTGATGCATATTGGGAAGGATTCTTTGATCACGAAAGTGGAGTTGCATTTTATCAGTATAAGTTTGCCACCACCTGCCTCACTAAGGAGGATTTTAAGAATAAAAATATGGCTAGTTGGTTTTAAATATTTTGACTTCCTTACATCAAACGATAGAAATATTATAAAAGTTTTTCTCAAAAGTCAAACAAATTTTCATTTTTCTTACCATTTACAAAGCAAGACTAAAGAAAAAGATAATGAATCAAGTAAACAAAGAGAGGTGAAAGATACCATAGCGATATTGAAACTCATTTGTCTAAGAAAAACTAAAGACGCCATGACAGAAAACGAAAAACCACAAAAAGGCATCCAAAGTCTACAAAAAAAAACCACATAGAAGATGACCGACCGAGCTACACAAACCCCACCAAAAACCGAGGTTGGTGTCAAGTGCTCTTGAAGTGTAAGCAGATTCTGCTCCACATGTAATACCAGTGGTGTTACTCCTATAAAATGCATTTATATTGTATAACAAATGGTTCCTTAGAAAAGCAAAACATGATAGTAGTTATACAATTATACACTAATTTGGAAATTTTTTACACGAACTGCTGGATACGATGACACACAGTTAAGAATAAGCAAACAATCACAAAAGTACTAATCTACATTTCGAACGTTGTCACTCTTACATATATATCTAACATATAGATAAGTTCGTTAAAAACCCTGAACGAATATAAATAATAGCTTATTTATAAAAAATAAATATTACATATATAATTCTCAGTCTGATGACACGTACGACACCTTTGCTACCTTTACTGCTCAAGCACCTGGCACATATTTTGTAACTGTCGTTGCATATAACAGAGCATACGAGATGTCAAAAGCAGTGTGTTCAGACGGTGTAACCATAACAATCGCTGTTCCTTCAATAAAGAATGTCGTTGTTATGAATGCAGTTACCGAACCACGTCTGATTAAAGATTCGGAAGACAATGAGTGGTATTTAGACAGATATGTTAACAGACACAGACTAACAAACATTTCACACGTTTGCAGGTATGTTATTGAAGCATAAGTTACGTTCATTTATATTTTATATAAATTGAAACTCCTCAGAATTTTAAGATGAGAATCAGATGAATCTGCTGCAACGAAAGCATACTAGTTCTATTTTTAAACGAGATAAGAAAAATTTCAAAAAAGATGTTTGAATAAATATTACATAATTTATAATTTTGTACATAACAAAATATATCAAACACTCACAGTATACAAGCTATATACCGCGATTTCTATTAAATAACCCTGAAGAAGACGTCAAAAACAATAAAAAGTTGTCCACAGTCTTTTAATTGTTAAAAGATTCTATTGTTAATGATATCACCACCATTCGTAAAATGATCTAATGTGTATTGTTTATAGGGCGTAATAATATTGCATATTTAACCCGAAGCTGATTCATATTGAATATTGTTAAACATGTGTAATGTTGAAATTGTCCTCTTTTTAACTAGATACGTGCCCGAGTTGCTAATCAAAGTGTTATCCGTATTGATGAGTCTTGGCAACGATATTGGTTTCTCTGAAATACCAATTATATATATTATATATGACAAGGGACCAAGTAGTGATCCCCAAACTACTCCAGTCTTTGTGTCGAAATACTGAATTACTGAATTATACTCTTAATAGTGTATTGCTACTTGAATTAAATAAGTACATAAGTACATACATGTGTAAATGAAAGTTAATTTTGGATTTACTCAATTTAGTTGAATTTGCATCTTTTAGATCCTGTATTACCTCGTGATTCATACATCCATGTTGTAACAGTTTTACTACTATATAATTTTAGATAATGATAAGTAATTAATATACACATTTCAGACTTAAAATGAAAGATAACACGAATTTACATCTGGGTGCCATTTTGCATACTTTTTTCATACCAATATATACTTGTAACCATTTTTTTTTACAGATTTTCTGATCCTATGACAGAAGACATCAATCTTATTCCAATAACACCTGGATTAATAGGTGAAGTTTGCAAGGGTTCTAAATCGTACACATCTTTAGTCATCAGAATGTTGCCTAAAGTACATTTGGTATGTATTGAAAGCGTGGATATATCAACTATTTAGTGAGAAACAATACAATGAAAATTAAGCATACCGCAATCAAGTCAATTTAGTAAATACAAACTTGCTTGATTGATTCCGCACAGCTTTTAAAAAACGAAATATCATGCAATCTGCATGTAACACTTTTATTCTTTGTTTTTGTTTACTTTCGAATTCTCAATAACCTCCTCGGTCGTCTCTTTGAAGTGTTCTCGCCTCGAGTTAGGGATGTCGTCGATTCGATCATCGGTATGGTCAAACCAAATTCTTGAAAATTGGAAGTTGCTGCTTCTCCGCTTAGATCGCGGCATTTAGAAGTAAAAGCAAAGACTAATATGTTCGAAGTCAAAATAATGAGGCTGGCTAGGGTGAACATTCTTTCGATAAATGTTATGGTTTGAACCAGCACATGAAAAAGCCGGATAAGCGTGTCGTTCTATTGCAAAGCAGGTATGTAGTCATATCACATTATCATGTTTGTCGTCCTGAACATGCATTTAATTTGCCACAGGACGTAAAGTAGTCTTCCGTCAATTGATCAAATCCAGTTGGAATTTCGTGACTAAATTGTTAGTCGCCATATCGAGATCCTGAAATAAAAATGGTAGATTATCGTAATTTAGACGAAAACGAGTTATACCTATAGCAAGACCGTCGGTCTAATGATATATCATTAAAACTATAATCCTTCAGGGTGAAAGTTTTCATCAATATGAGTTCATGTTAAGCCATATCGTTTGCACCTTATAACAAATCATTCACAATATTTTGCGAAATGATAATTTGTTAGAATATACCATTTTCAAGCACAATGTAATTATCTATTTTTTAATTTTTACTTATTTCAGCTAAATATAACATGGATGTCAGATGTTGATACATTGTTAATCGATGATTATGAAGTTGGATTTTCATCTACAACTGGAAGTTTTGCACCTGATATTTTGTCATTTCAATCGTCTAAGCGTCATTCACAGATATTGATAAACCACTTTGGAGTCCCCGAGGGAAAATTATTTTATATAATTATAAAATCTATAAGTAAATCAAATGTCTTAGGCATTCAAGTAAGTGTTGTGGCAGCTGACAAAATCTTAACGATATGTTTATCTTTCTTCATTCATCCCGGCATTTTAGTTTGTTATCTTACTCAAACAATGATTAACTGGTTGAATAATTCTTATTATTTTTACCCTTTTTACACTGGAATAGTTCCTTTTTGAATACAATACCAGATAAGTCGAACTCATTCTGCAAATTTGTTATTATGTTCGATATTTTATGAAGTCCTCATTTATATTCTGATAAAAAATAATTTTCCGAGGAAGTTTTGTTTTTCTCAGTGATTATAGTTGATGTGTTTCCATCGGTTTAATTAAGTTTTTAACCCGGATTTGTTTTCGCTTAGTCGATTTATGACTATTGAACACCGGTATACTACTGTTGCCTTTATACATTACATTGAGTGTATCGATTCTCAAGTGCAAATTGAAATAAAAAAATATTTATCATTTTAAAAAACTTTGTATACAGTTTTTGAATCATTTTATATTCTAGTTGGAAAATTTTTAATCTGAAAATTGTTGATATCAATGGGAGCGTCAATTTTTCTCGTGATACTGCCCTGAAGGAAATCGAACTTTTTTCATGAGTAAATAAATGATAAAAGGTTTTAATGGAGGAATCACAATCAGAAGTCTGAGAAAAACAGACTAAAAAATGGAAATATACATTTTCATATGCATTTATATGATTCTAGTTCAGCTAAAATATTTCAGAGTGTTGGACCATACATAATGGACACTACACCACCACAGTTCATTGGAACATCTATCCAAGTCAATTTATCTGGGTCGTTTCTTGTAGCAAATTGGTCTGCTGCAAGTTTTATAGATGTTGATGACCCGTACCAATTACGCTATGCATATGCTATAGGTAAATCTGTTTTGAACAATAGCTCTAAAATGACGACCTTATTTAGCCTTGTAATTAAACCGTATTGTTATTCGTACAAAATACGTTTGACATATGCGTACAAACTTACTTTTTACATTCTCATTATTTTTATTTTTATAATACTAATATATATATATAGTAGCTCTTTCCATAACTATTGTTTTTTTTAACAATAATGTTATTTAAATATCATATGTTAACCCTGCTATTAGTTTTTAAACTTATTACATATGAAGATGTATGGTACATACTTCATGGGGAGGAAACGGGAACAGCCAAACATTCCAAAGGTATTGTCGTACGCTTCGACCTGTCAGAGTACTCTATTTGTCATATCGGCAATTATAATGCCTACCCATGTTGAAATGAGCATAGAGCATGACACGAAGGAATTATTTGTTAAACAAAACAAAAAACTATTAACTTGAAGCTATTTTTTATTGATATAACACCATAACTTTATTTTGTTTTTCATATTATCAAGTTTCAAATCCTGACGAAGAAAATATCATCTGCAGCCACCTATGGCTTTTTTTATTTCAATAAAAAAATTATGAAATAGCAGGTTCGTCTTTGACAAAGATGTTAACTACAATAAAAGAATGAAGGGTGATTGGGGTAATACGTCACAACAGCAACATTTAATTTTTTCTGTTTTAAATGCTCGGTAACTTCCTATTTGATTTGAACTTTAAATATTTTGTTACAAGTATCACTGATGAGTCATACATAAACGAGCGTCTGACATACTAAATTATAATCCTGGTATCTTTTAAGAGTTTTTAAACCTTTTTCATTTTGTTTACAGTCTGTGCTTTTCCGAATGCTTTCATCCTCATGTTCTGCATTAAAACGACTGTATAATTTGTCTTTACACTGAATCCACATATTTTGTTTTCGAATACAGATTGACTGTTTTATTATTTTTAGCCTATGTATAGGTTGATCATAACTTTATTTCTTCTTAGTTACTCATGTTCTTGGTCGTCTAAAAGCTTTCAAGAGATTAATTTTGGCTAATATCAGTTTTGCATTTATGATATTTTTTCAACACAAAACAA